TGCAGTGTGAACTGGTCTTTGTACTCAGTAACTGCTTGAATCAACTGAAATACCTTATATCTTAAACCTTGAAATACTCTAGTAAATGTACACGTAAACAATTGCAATTGGCCTTTACTTAGTCACTGGTTGATGGTTCTTTCAATGTAGAGTGTTCCTGTTGGTGTCCTACCTCTTGGTAAAGACAACTCATTTTATTATTCACAACTGAGGGAAAGGAAAGGGAATAATGAACTACCAGCAAGGTAGCGTACGTGTACATGTACATGTACATATTCATGTAAATTGTACAGTATAGTCTCTCTTAATGGACACTCTCTATAGCGTACACCTCCATTTAACGGACAGCACCTAGTGTACCAATTACATTCCTTACTGTATAAAATAGCCTCCACATAAAGGACACCTCTGTATAACAGAGACACTTTCTTGTCCCAAAGTGTCCATACAATAACAACATTGCTTTTGTTATAATGTATAATAATAACAACAACAACAGTAATTATTGTTATTACTGTATTATTATTATTATTATTATTATTATTATTATTATTATTATTTTATTGAAGGTCGATTGGTGAGGCTACAATGAATATCATTCGTGGTAACACAAAACTAGTCAACATCATCAAATTGCAGGTCTGTCACACACATTACATGTACATGCGTTAGAGCACATACAACCTTTTCCATGTGATTCTGACATAGTGCTCATGCAGCTTTTGTTATTATCCTTATAGCCAGAGAAAGGGAAGACCCTGTATGCTGTTAGCTCAGTGAAGTGGGGAGTGGTACATGATGCTGAGATTAATAAGAATAGGTAGAGAGAGAGAGAGAGGGAGAGGAGGGAAAAGATGTATGCTGTATAGAAGAAATAATGTTAATATTAGAATACCTTTTCATTAATTTCTAGTTGGAGGTTGTTTGGTTTGTTTAGGACGTTTCTCTCTTATACCAGCACAGCAGTTAGGGTATGTTACTGAATTACATGTACATGTACTATTAGCTACTTTCTACACAGCATAAATAAAGCGGCAGTCACGATAATTAACTGTAACATAGTTTAGTAAAATAGTAGCTACTGATCTGGAAAATTTCATCTTCAACTCTTGCATTACGCCATATGGTACAGGCACTCCCTGTGACTGTGCAATTAAAATGCACTTACTGAAGCAAGATTTCAGTTCCTTTTATAGTAATAAGCAGCAGCTGCTGCTCCTGGTAGTTCGTGCCTTGCATTTTCTTGGTAAGTAGATACTCATGCATGTAATTTGATGTTGTTCAACTCATGTTTAACTATTATCACAATTAATCTGCAATAGCTACTTTTGTCAAAATACAATACATTAATAAGAAAGAAATAGCAACTATAAAGATAAGCTACTGGATGAAAAAATTAATTTACACACAAATCTACTTCACATAAATGTTATAACTACTGTATGAACTGGACTATACTTCTACAGTTCTACTACTAGCAATTGAATGCACACACTTCACTGCTTAACATAAATCTCATAATAACTAACAGGAATGTCTTCATTAGCAGTTCCTTCACTTCCACAGACCCTCAACTCAATATAGTCAGTAGTGGTAGTGCTACCATAGTCTCTGTGAAACCATGGGATACCAGGAACATTACAACAAGACGATTCCAGGCCAGTACATCCTTGACCATCCCAGAGTGGATCAGATGTGTAGAGAATATTAGTCCAAGTAGAAGCTTGATTACCAGACTCACAAAAGTAATTGTTACCAACAAAAGACGGTGGACTAGCACCACCAGCACAAGGACAAATGTTAATATAATTACTGTTTCCTGAAATGAAAGCAGCATACAGTGACCAGACATGTTGACGAGGAGACCCACGAGTGATACTAACACCTTCAACATAATAAGAATTGATGTTATTAACAAAGCCAGCAGCAGCATCAGGTGATCCATATTGATATCCTGTTACTCTACCACATATCTGAGAATAACTGATACCATTAGATGGGAACTGAATTGATACACAGCTACTACTGTTTGTTACTGGCCTACCACAAGCTCTAACTCCTCCTGACTGGTACAGTCTAAACCCAGAAGGACAGTTCTGTGTAGCATCAGACATATCCAGATATACTAGTCTTGTCCATCCTCCTCCTGAACCACACAATGTTCCCATATTACAGTAAGCAGTATAAGTAGCTGATCCATTACCCAATATATAGTAACCTGATGGACTTGCAGGAAATAACATTTTGATGTGCTCGCATGATGTTGACAAACCAAGTGATGAGTTCTGTAACAATAAAAGGTGTATAATGTACAAAAATGTATCATCAGCCACTCCAGCAGTAGAGGTACTGGTGTCTTGTAGATTAGAGAGAGTATTGACAATGTTAATGAGCTTTTGTGCAGAATCTCTTGTAGTTTGTAAGATTTGTTTATCAAGTTCAGTGAAGTTGGTATTGTCTTGTAATAGTTGAAGAGTATTTTGTGATACACCATTAGCCCATTCATCAAAGTCAGGAAGGCTCCCTGTTACATTGCTGTTAACTTTAGAGACAACACCATTAGCCCATTCATTGAAGTCAGGAAGGCTTTGGTTAACTTTAGATACTATATCATTAGCCCATTGAGTGAAGTTAGGATATTCATTGCTACCAGCAGTAGCTCCAGTAGTAGCTCCAGTAGTACATGTACATGTACCACTTGTGAACATTTGAGCCAGTAACAAGCAAAGGATGACTACCAGTAGTATTACTATCAGTGACAGTAATACTGTGTGGATGATTTTTTTATTCCACATTACCTCCTTGTCCTTCCTTTCCTTGATATTCTCAGGTTGTTTGACTCTCA